ATTAAAGTCTTCTCTCTCTTCTTTTGATGACTAAGTCTCGCAATAATATTTCGATATAATTGAATAGTAGAGGTAGTGAAAATCGTAAAAGTAGTCTGAGGAGAAGTGAAAGTAGAAGCATTATTTGTAGCAGTGCACACGATCTTTCTCTTTATGATACTATAATTTCTACGTACGTCTTACGTTTATTATCTTAAATTTACATTGGTAACATACTGACGATGAATTGGCTTTAGAATATTCCCTTTATTCACTGCAAACGACTTGTTTAACAATTCAAAAAACTTAACATTTGTGACATTGTAGTATATTACTAGTTTCTGGTCGTGCAGTTTGAATGGTTTCAGAAAATTGGTAAAATAACGAGTTTACAAAGCATTCGCCTCCTCTACTGTTTCGTGTTTGTGTTTCATATTTCTGTCTCTGGGGGTTCAGTAACCTCTGGAGCCTGTGTGCCTTCTGGAGCCTGTGTGCCCTCTGGAGCTTCAGTCCCCTCTGGTGCCTCGGGTCCTTCAGTTGTACCTAATGATCACATGTATACAATAAAGAGGGTGAGATTATCACCACCACTACGCCCCCACTGGAGAAGTCATTTTTCCGGGTGTTCATTTGGTAATCAGCGTCTTTATTAATCGTAGTTGTAAACGGATGATGGGGAGGCTCTTGTACGCGTGATATGCAATTGCACGCATTTCACCTCGACGAGACACAGAATTACGCCAAAGAAAAGTGATGCATTGGGTCTCGAGAGGGTGTACACTTAGTCAGGATATTCTAACAAGTTCTATTAGCTCAAATGAAATGAGTACTGTTTTCATGCGATTATGAAAGGTTATGTTCCTTCACACTCTAGTTTATTCCCTGACTATGAGGCAGTCTTTGTCAAATTCGCTTTATTGGGGGTACTTTTTAATCAATCTTTCCATGTAACCAAGTTGTTTGCGTGAAAGCAGAGATGGAATCAGAAAGACATGATGACTCTCCAAGCAACGAAGCGAAAACAGGATGAAAACACAGACTTTGGTATTATTACTTCGGATTAGACAACATCTAATATCTTTAATGTTTATAATACAAATTTTCTTTCCTTCCTTTCCTTCTCGTTTTTGCAGAAATTAATTGTTCAAATTGTCGTCTTCTTTTCAGAACCACACTTTTATCGCTCGAAGTTCTCTCTTCTTTGTCCAAAACATCGTGTTGAGTAAAATTTAGTTAGTTACTTAGTCTCGGAAAGGTTAGACATGTAAGTGTTAAAAATACACATTCCACAAAAGTATGAGTTGAAGTTCTATTAGATGTTGCCCTATCAACAAATCGCACATCTATCATATCCAAAAGGAATCAAGCTTCGTCATCGATTGCAGAAAGGATAATTCTAAAATTGAAAATAAATCCCTCAAAAATTAAAATTCTTATAGTTTATGTTGACTTGAACTCGCCTGGTGAAGAGAAAGCTGTCAGCTGTCCCACATAGCATGCTAGAAATAAGAGGAGCAACATTCTCGAACTCATCTTTTTTGGTAGCTGTTTTCTTCGTCTGCCTTTCTTTGTTAGAGATAACTGAGAGTGTGACTGCTCTGCTTGGTAAGTTAGAGCTTATAATAAGCGGCGGTATATATTAGTTAAAAGCAGCCAAGTAGAAGATTTTTGGGCTTCTAATATTGGTTTGATTAAAGTAGTAACATTCCGATATTTATTTTGATCATGATCAGCGTTTGTGGTTTGAAATTAGGAACAATGACGATGAGACAAGGTGGTCACTAATTCTCTCTCTACCTATTTGGTAATTACAACATTCCTAGGGGACAGAATGGCATCTTTTGCTCGTTTGCAAGGTTCGAAACTGGATGTGTTCTCTCAGTATTTGGTGAACGCTAATGGTATGAGCTATCTTGTAGTAAGAACATTTATCAGTTGCTGAATGACAGTACTTGACCTCTTTCAGAGGGATAATACTGCAACTTCGTGATTTTACCATTTTCGACCAAATGTCCATCAATTATAGTTACCTGCTTAACTGTTTACTCCTCTATTAGTATCTTCAGAATATGTGATCTAACCCATCATTGTATGCCAAAAGTTAGTAATAGCTTTCTTGAAACGAGTTGCTCTCGAAAATCTACCAACTTTCTAAGTGAAAAAGTGGAGTCATATTTACTTCAGTCAATAGGTAATATTGTATTGCAGTCCCAAAGAGCTCCCAACGAAAACATATAAGTAAAGAAAGGTGACTTTCGTATCCTACAAGTCATCATTACTGAATACGAATAACTCAATTTCGTACGTGCCATAAACTTTCAAGAAACTATCCACATCCATTACATATTTCCGTGTGTTGTGTTTTTAAAAATAATACGGTCTAAAACTATTATCTCTACAAGCCGCTCAAACATGCGGTCAATCTCCTTGATGGTGGGGAATCTATTGGCTCGACAGCACGACTGCTGCATCGAATCTTAGCAAAACACAAACAAACACGGAAAATAAAGGTTTGCTGGATCACAGATAATAATAATAATAATAATAATAATAATAACAACAATAATAATAATAATAAGATATTACTTGCAGGGTTGACAGAAATTTACTCTAACAGGAAGAAGAAGTATTCTCTGAGCAGATCGAGACCTAGTTAAACCACGCGTCTTTCATCTTTTTTTTTTTATAATTACTACGAAATGATGTTAAGCATGGAAAATGTCTCGATCTAAGTTAGAATTCATCGCTTCCTTTACCAGAATGATGCGATTTTCTTCGCTTAGGATTTATAAGACATGTTTACGCTTAACCATCAAGGTTTTCCTTCATCTCTTACGCAACATAACAAAAAATTATTTTATAACAACCCGTGAACCTATTAAATATAAATATATGCTTCTTATGGTATTATTTGTTTAGAGACCTTCGATGAACATTCTGGGATCTCACAGTTTGCATACATAGAGGGAGGGAGCTGTACCAATGCTCTACTGACTATATATATATCAATATCTTGATATCCCAGAGTGCAAAGCGGTACGCCTATTCGCTATGGATTTCAGCAAGGCTTTTGATAGTGTGAAACACGATCTCCTCTCACACAAACTGAAGCAACTCCCCCTAAATCCTTTTATAGTTAACTGGTATCTAAGCTTTTTGGAAGACAGGCAGCAGAGAGTCATTAGAAATGGGTTTATTGGAAAATGGAAAAGTGTCAACAAAGGTACCACCCAAGGAAGTGTCAGCGGGCCGCACTTGTTCAATGTCTTTCTCAGTGATTTAGAGATACACTTGGACAATAAGAGCGTGCTGGTAAAATATGCAGATGATACAACCATTATCTCGCCTGTGATAGGTGATAATGATATTCTATCGCACTGATTAATCAGTTTTCCCAGTGGTCTAGAAGTAATGGTATGTGTAGCAATCCATCTAAGTGCAAGGAAATCATTTTCCGCAAGAAAGGTTGTACAATAGATATATATATATATATATATATATAGGTTCATAACACATATTCGGGAAAAACTAATTAAAGCAAACAAGTGCCTGTTCATTTTAAGATCTTTAAGGAAAGAAGGGTACAATCAGGCCGAAATAGACCATCTGTTTCTAAATCTGGTTCTACCAAATATATTATACGGGCTGTCCGTATTTGGCGCTGTAAATTCCGAATTAACAACAATCCAATGTTTCTTAGATCGATGTTATAAGCGCAAGTATACATCCGATCACATTAATGTTTATGAATTGTTAGTTCAACAGGACACGCGTATCTTCAAGAATGTTTTTAATAATACAATACACCCTTTAAGAGCTATAATGCCAAAAAAGAAATTAACCAAGTACAATCTGAGGAAAGAGACAAGTCACCATCCTAAAATAAACACTGATAGGTTCAAAAACACGTTTGTTAATCGCTTAATTTTTAAACATAATCTAGTCTTATAATTTTTATCTTGATTTTCTCTGTAATTTATATATATACCTTCTTTTAAATGTTGTAACATAGGATATGTGATTATTTATCTTATGACTTAATAAAGATTCAAGATTCAAGATCAAGAAGAAGTCCATATGGCTGAAAGGAGTTTAATGTTCTTTGCCAAAAAATCTCTCTTTCTCTAAGGACTTCTTTCTTTTTGTCAGTCTCTAAATGATCTTTTCGGATTTGCTCTATAATGGTTATGGTAACATTATTGTTAAAGTCGTGAGTTCGTTTGTTATGTAAAAAGTGTTCCGTGAGTTCGCAGCTACTCACTCCCTTTTTAATATGGTTTCTGTGATTGTTTAACCGTAGGTTAAATGCAGTTTCGCTTTTGCCAATGTATTGAAGTTTGCAAATGTTGCACTCGATTATGTAAATGATCCATGACGATTGGCAGTCCACTGTATGAAATATGGTATAGGTCTTGTTGTTATTGGGACTGGTGAAAGTTGTGGTCTGGTTGATCTTTTTACACCAACTAAACTTCGTTCTTTCACATGCTCTACATCCCTTTGGTATCAAATTCTGAGGTGTTTCATTTACAAATCTTGAACGAACAAGTCTGTCTCGTAGACTTTTCGGTCGTCGGTAGGCTACTAAAGGTGGCTTGTTGAAGATGAATGATAATCTTTCTTTTGATTTGAGAAAGTTCCAATTTCGTTTAGCAATTTCTGCAATAAATGTGGTATGGGGGTTGAATGTAGTAACCAGAGGAATTCGATCTGTTGGTTCACGTTCTTTGGTCTGTAAACATTCCTCTTGAGTCAATGTTAGCACTTTCTGCATTTCGTGGAGAACTTTGCGTTGTACATAACCACACGCTACAAAGAAATCCGAATATTCCAGGATTCGTTTCCTAAATGTGTCTGTTGAAGAGCATATTCGCCTCAACCTCAAGGCTTGACTGTATCGGATGCTCCGTTTCAGATGAGGTGGATGTGCTGATGTCCAATGGAGGTATGGATGAGTATCAGTTGGTTTCTGATAAACATCTGTACTGATGTTGCCTTGATCGTCCTTTAGAACGGTCGTATCAAGGAAATTCACTGAATGTGCAGAGATTTCGTGTGTAAACTTGATTGAGGGTGCTACACTGTTAAGGTAATTTATGAAATTAATCAAAGAGTCTTTATCACTTTTCCAGATAAGGAATATATCATCTATAAAGCGTACCCAGAGTATGATATGGTCCATCCACTCTGTTTGGTACACGAATCTTTCTTCAAGTCTACCCATGTATACGTTTGCAAAGTTGGGAGCGACTCTGGTTCCCATGGCTGTTCCTTTGATTTGAATGTAGTGTTCATTGCCAAAGGTAAAGTTGTTAAGCTTAAGAACCTTCTCGAGGAGACACGATAATGTCATCGGTGATGGCTTGTTCTGGTTCGTTTTGCCTAGCTCTTCCTCCACAATAGTGAGTCCTTCGTCTGTGTCTATATTCGTATATAGGCTTGATACGTCCAGAGTTGCTAAGTAACACTTTTCGGGTAACTTGCCCAAACTCCGTATTCGCTTAATGAAGTGTGTGGTATCTTGTATGTATGACGGTAGCTTTTCTGCTATAGGTCTCAAAAATTCGTCCACATAAGCTGATAGCTTCTCCGTGTGGCTGTTCACGGAGGATACTACTGGTCTACCTGGATTGTTAACTTTGTGTATTTTGGGGAGCATATAGAATATAGGAGTCCTTGATTGTGCTGGTCTTAAGAGTTTAGCTACTTCTTCTTCTAATTCTCCGCCGTCCATAAGTGTATCTAAGCACTGGTTTATGAGCTGTTCGTGTTCAAGAGTGAGATCTCTTCCTACTCTCTTGTAATATTCTTCATTGTCTAGTTGGCGTTTAGCCTCCTTTACATAGTCCTTTGCATTCATGATGACCGTAGCTCCGCCTTTATCTGCGGGCTTGATGATTATGTCCGTGTTGTTGCTTAGTCTAACCAAAGCTGCTCTCTCACGTTTGGTTAGATTATTACGTGGAGATCGTAGATTGTGCAAAGTCTCATCACTGATTTCTTGCCTTAATTTGTCAATATATGTATTAAGGTATGGTTCCCTTGAAGGTCCAGTATACACCTTGCGCTCCTTCTGGTTCAATTTTTGAAGAATCGATGGTTGGTATCCAGGGCCGTCTATTACGTCTTCTATATTCTCAGGAGTGTGATATACATATATAAAAAAAAAAGTTACTAGAACTCTCAGGCTAACAAAGGTGCACCGCGCCAGGAGGATCAATAAAGATTCGCAGTCCAGACTTCACAGCAAACAAGAACGAGGAGAGTTAAGAAAAATGCGAGGATGGACAACTTCTAACGTGAAAAAGATAAAAAATTTAATAAAAACATTTCGGTCAGAGACTTTCTTCAGTTATTTACAGCCTTTTAATAAAAAAGAGCTTTAAATAAGGTCGAGGTGCTAGTGATTACATAATTACAGGTGACAACTAATGAATAAGATACAAAATCACGTGAAAGAGCAGGGTTCAAAGAATGCTTGTAGCTCTGCCGATCTAGCCATGGGCGAAATTGAACTCAAAGCTAAGTTTTCTGGTCCGATAAAGCCGTCCTTATGGTGGCGATATCGAGACGATATATTTGATCTTTGGCAGCAAGGCCTTCCTGCCCTACATCAATTTATTGATTACATTGATTCTCTGTAACCCACTATTAAATTTGAGTTAGTTTTTTCTGAGCGTGAGCTTCACGTACTTGATCTTACTTTATATCTTGTCGATGGATTTATTAAGATAGACGTCTATTCCAAACCTACAGATAGTCACTTATATCTTCCACCTTCTAGCTGCCATCCTAAGCATGTTTTCAAGGGTATTCCTTTTGGAGTAGCCACAAGATTGAAAAGAAATTGCTCTGAAGAAATTTTTCTTGCCGAGAGAACAGCTGAGGACAAAGAGTGCCTTGTTAACCAGGGCTATCCCTCTAAATTAGTTTCGGATCAATTCCCCAAAGACTCCGCCATTCCTAGAAATGATTTACTTAGGACTCATGGAAAAGAAACGAAGAAATCATTTCATTTAATCCAAATTTACCCGACGTAGGCAACATAATCAGAAAGCATTTGTTCATTCTACAAACCAACCCCAAATTAAAAGAGCTTTTTCCTCGAGGTTCTATCATACCATCTTTTCGTCGGTCAAAAAATCTCAAAGAGTTATTAGCACCATTTTGTCTTAAAACTGTCAACGAGGGACAAACAATTCATCACAACAATGACTGTTTCAAATGCGATAGGAATAGATGCGACCTCTGTCGGAACTTCTTTGTTGAATCTAAATCATTTCTTAGCTTTCACACGGGTAAAAAAAACCCAATCCATTAAAGAATTTCTTGTGATTCTAAAAATGTGATTTATTTGGTTTCTTGCAAGAAATGTCGCTTGCAATACGTGGGATCTACCGCTACCGACTTTAGAATTAGGTTTCGTAATAACACGAATATCTTTGATCAGATACAGACCCCAAGCGGCTCTAAGGAGATCGATAGGCTTTTAAGTACAAAAGAAGCTTTTGGAGTGCTCAGCTCTTAAATAAAAGAAAGGAATTTCTCAGCTTTTAAATAAAAGAAAGGAATTTCATTCAAAAAACAGAATTTGCTATAATTAATTTTCCATCCTATATTATTCGTTACTGATTAATCGTTCAAAGGCCCTTTTCTTGGATTTTGTGAGCCTTTTAGGTGTTGATTGGACTCAGAGGCCATGCCAAGGGATCTTATTATGATTAATATTATTCAAGGGCCCCTCCAGGGATTTTGTTGCTAATTTGCCCTTTCAGGCTCCAAAGGCCTTGTTTTGGGATTTTGGCACGGTTTACAGTTGTTGGTAAAAGTGAGTCTATCCTTTTCTAATGCTTGCCGCATTGCCTATTCAGTTGCGCTATTCGTTTTAGCAAGTTTATTTTTTTAGTTTTTAGTTTCTAGGTTTTATCTCTCGTATTTTGTCCATTATTTTTTTTTTGGCTTCATTTTTTTTATATTTTCGCTTTGTTGATTTTGTTTTCTGTTATCTTTTTTATTAACACCACTTTCTGCTCTTTCACGTGATTTTGTATCTTATTCATTAGTTGTCACCTGTAATTACGTAATCACTAGCACCTCCACCTTTTTAAAGCTCTTTTTTATTCAAAGTCTGTAAATAATAGAAGGTCTTTGACCGAAACGTTTTTATTAAATTTTTTATCTTTGTTACGTTAGAAGTTGTCCATCCTCGCATTTTTCTTAACTTTATATAAATACATACATATATATATTCTAGTTTGAGCACTCTGGCATGGCTTAGATGATCCTACATGTGTGAGATCACTTGGGGTGGCTATATGGCCTTACCTCCATCGGAGCATCAGCACTGCACTGATGAGGCCCAGAAGGCCGAAACAGTACTGTCTGCAGTTATATAATATATATATATATATATATATATATATTAGTTATATATATAGTATATATATTATTATTATTATCATGTATTAAAATACGAATTCCAAAGTGCAACGTTTTTGAACACGCCTGACTTTAGTAGTAGTAGTGTTTGTAGTAGTTGTATTAGTTGTGTTAGTTGTAGTAGTAGTAGTAATAATAGTTAAATAGTAGTAAAAGAAGAAAGAAATAAGTTAAAGGGCCAACTACAAAGATTAATAGCCTGGTTTTACCTTCAATTCATATATTTGTCCTTCTAAAAACGCGTTTAGAATTTGTACTTAGCTGATTGCCAGTGCATTATTTTTCTTGAAATTTAACCAGCTTTTTAAACAGTCGCATGTGAATGCGACTTTAAAGACCACCTTTTCGGTACTAACACACTGATATTTTACATATGTTAGGCTAGCATTGACGGAAACATATACAGACTCCTTACACCGGGATATAGCAGATTTGTGGAGTAAATCAGACATCTCAGAGACCTCAGAAATGTTAACCCACGCGATATGAGGAAAAATTTTATCCATACTTTTCAAATTTTAGCGCGAAATCTGCCGCGCAAACTTGCTCACACGTTTAACTGCTGGCCACAAGCGTGCCGTAACACTTAGAAAGACTAGCAGCTTTAGAAAGCTGAATTCGCGTTGAAAATTTTGATACCAAACATGGTATACCTTGCAAAGTTTCTCTGGAAAAATTGTGCTCCGAACGAGTGCCGGATCTCGGGAAGGAAGTCGGTATCGCAGGTAGAAGCTGTTTTTCTTTCTCGTAAGGTTCAGGATTTTTTGCCTTCTTTGCAGGACTTCAAATTTTAGGGTAGGGTTAAGATCAGCGTCAACTATGAGTCTCCACTCCGGCAAGTGAAGTACCAGGCACAGGAACACTGGGAAAATTAATTTTCTTTTTTTTTTTTTACCTTAAGTCTTATTATTTACAGCAGTACACAGACAGCAGTCTATATAACGGCACCCCACTTCGGTAAATTTTCCATCTGTAATTTTAAACCGATTTTTTTAAAATATTAAAAATCTCTCCATACATTCCTTTGTAAAATTTGACGCCAGTTTTAGAGTTACATTTCTAAGAGTCCGCTTACGTTACGCGAGCGCTTGGCCACAATAGTTGGCGATGAGTAGTAGTATTAGTAGTAGTAGTTGTAGCAGTAGTAGTTGTTGTGGTTTTAGTGGTAGTAGTAGTTGTAGTAGTTGTAATTGTTGTGGTTTTAGTAGTAGTAGTAATAGTTGTAGTAGTAGTTGTAGTAGTAGTAGTAGTAGTTTTTATAGATTTTCTTTTCATTGCGCACGATCTTTCTCTTTCTGACACAATAACGTTTTTACCACAATTAAGTAAGTCATACGTTTATTATTTTGGGATTTGTCGAAGACTCGGCTTAAGAATAAACCGTACATTCACAGCAAGTTATATTTATTATTTATTATGTTATATTTAGTCAAAAAGGACTAAGCCTTTATGGGTAATCTCTGGAGCATCAGTCCCCTCTAGAGCATCAGTCCCCTCTGGAGCATCAGTCCCCTCTGGAGCATCACTCCCCTCTGGAACATCAGTCCCCTCTGGAACACCAGTCCCCTCTGGAACATCAGTCCCCTCTGGTACCTCTGGGAGGTCTGTTTCTTCCGGCCCTTCAGATGTACCTGATGACGACATGTACACAATGCACTCAATTAAAGTAAAAAACCCTCAGTTTTGTTCTCATCCATAATTCGCAACGCGTCTATGAATGAAGTATAGTTAACTCCAAAACTAATTTCGTCGTTTGAAAGACCTACATGCCAGCATATTTCATTTCATTTTGAGCTCCAAAAGTTCTCTCTCAATTGGGATGGAACGGAAAAACAATCTTCAAAGTTTTGAAACCTTGCGGCTAAACTCGACGGGAACTTGCAGCCGAAGGAAAGTGCACACGTCATGTTATGGATGTACGGCCATGCGTACATAAGGATTTTACCATACTAGCTCCTTAGGAATTAGGTAGGACTTGCGCCCGCAATATGCTACAACATTACAATTTTTCTCCGAGCGATAGAAAGTGTTTGTCTCTCCTTCCTTCTTTTTTCGCTTTTAACTTTGTACTCGCAAATAAATGTTCAAATTGTCGTCATCTTTTCAGAACTTCGTTTTTTTTTTTTAAACTCAAAGTTCTCTCTTGTTGGCCAAAACATCAAGTTAAGCAAAGTTTAGTACATATAGTATACTTTGACTAGGAAAGGTCATACATGTAAGTATTGAAAAGGTATAATCCACAAAAGTATGAACTGTTGTAAGCCTTCTCCTAATCAAGCTTTGACATTAATTGCAAAAAGGATAATTCTAAAACTAGAAAAAATGTTCTAGTAAATTTACTTGAACTTGCCTGGTGAAGAGATAGCTGTGAGCTGTCCCACATAAAATGCAAGGAGTAAGAGGAGCAACATTCTCGAACTCATTATTTTCTGCAGCTGTTTTCTTCCTCGGCCTTTCTTTGTTAGAGATAGCTGAGTATGACTTCTCTGTGTGGCAAGTTAGAGCTTAATATAAGCTGCGCTACTTATTAATTAAAATCAGCCAAGCAGCTCACTTTTCGGCTTCTTATATTGGTTTGACTTGAGTAATAACATAGCAATATTTATTTTGCTTATCAATGCTTGCGGTTTCAAATTAGAGGCAATGGAAATGAAAGTATGTGGCCAACAATCCCTTTTTACCTATTTAGCACAGACACATTCCCAAGAGACGGAATGTCTTCCCTCGCTCGTCCACAAGGTTCGAAAACTGTAATTCAGTTTTCCTGTAAGATTTGTTATTTCGTAAACGCTAATTATATGAGCAAATGTACTTTTTAGGAAGAATATCAGTCAATTGTCGAGGAATAATACTGTACCTCTTCTAGAGGGATAATGCTGTACCTACGTGATTTAATCATTTCCGACCCGATGGTCATCAGTACTACTGAGACACGTGCTATTTACTTCTATTTAACTATTTACTCCTACACTCGTATCTCCAGGAAATGTGATCTCAAACCGAACGTTGTTCTCTGTAGGCTACCATCCCTCTAAAAGTCGTAAAAGGTGAAAAAGTATAGTCGTCTTTACTTTAGTCCAGAGTTTATACTGTATTGCAGTCCCAAAGAGCTTTTAAAAAAACATATAAGTAAAGACAGGCGAGTTTCATATCGTAAAAAGTTGGACGACAATCATAGCAACAAATATTTGGTAGCTACTGGGGGAATATTCAATATATCAATGACACTCTCAACTTTTTCCGAGCACTTCATGGAAAAAGGAAGAATTAAGTTCCACCGCACACAGCATTCGAGTGCTTCTTGAGTTGAGGTTTTCTTAGATCGCATCATCGTAATTGAGTGCGAACTACTCATTTTAGTACGTGCCATGAATTTAAAAGAAACTATGGAAATCTATATTTTCGTGTGTTGCAAAATGACACCCTATAAAATTCTTCTTGGAAAGTTTATGTACAGACGACTAGTACTCAAACATGTGCTGAAGCTCCTCCGTGGTGTAAAAGTTTGAGTCTTTCAACATTAATGATGAGACCTCTTGGCTTGACAGCAGGGTTGCGGCAGGAAACCTTACGCAAAATAAAAAGAAACACAACAAAATAAGGGATTGCCGGGTCACAGGCAATAATAATAATAACAATACCATCTAAAATTCCTTTTAAAGGAAGATGGAGAATTAATTGAGCCGTTCGAGACGTTATTTAACCGTCCTTCTTTCTTGTTTTGAACCAACATGAAATAATGGTTAGCTTGGAATTTACCTCGATCTAAGTTAGAATTCTTCGTTTTTCCTATTAGGATTCTGCTCTTTTTACGCGAGTTGTATGATATGCCGCGTTCTGTGCAATCGAAGACGATATTGGGCCAATTATGTGAGAACGCGTGATTTGACAGCCCTGCAAAATAGTAAATTTAAGACAAGGGAACCCAGGAAGACTTGTAGACCCTCCTTGAAACTGTTTTTGATCTCGGGTGGGTGGCCAGTCTAGCTGAATATTCTGAAGACAAGCAATGTGAGCGCGGAATGACACCTAATCAACGAATTCTCCTTTTTTCTTTTCTTTGCATGTTTTCTTTTATGTTTTCCTTTCTCGCTTGAAATAATGAATACCACTTCAGGTGTCATGCCCTGGAATAAACAACTTATTATCCATTAACACTCAAATCCCATGCCAAATATTGTATTTGCATTTCAGAAAGACAGTCGCTATTTTTTCTGAAATACAAATAATACAGTTTTGAGTGTTTTTCACCATATAAACATGTTCTTCTAAATATGTTGTGCGTAATGAGGGAGCTATGAAGATATTCATTAAATTTACTACTCTCATAACACAGATTCATTCATTCACAAAGATCTAGGTTACAGGTAAAGACTTGATCCTTCGGAGTCTGAGTGAAATCATCTAAGAGTCAAGCCCAAAACCAGGCCATTTTTCGTTCATAGAAGCGTGCGGGACGTTGCCATGTATTTACACAGTGTCTATCAAATTTACCCGTACAGATTATGGAAAATCGGACCGAGAAATCTGTGGATCTGAGAGGAATCAGGTTTGGTTTGCCACGTCCTACTCCGGTGACAAAAAATAAGATCTCTCATTATCATTGATTCATTTTTCATCCACTACTATCTTATTTGCGAAAATCTGTGTATTATTAAAACTTTCGGGATCAGAAGTCCCTGGTTTGATTGAAACATGATTCATTATTTGTTAAAAGAAGGAAAATTTATTTTCCACTACAAAAAAGCTTAATACAAGTCATGTAAGGCGCTTAGTATGATTTACCCAGCTGAGTGTTGCATGTGTCACTGTACAACGTCATTTTATCTGTTTGTTTTTAAGTTTCGCAAATACAATAGAAACAGTCTTGATTAAGCTAAATCATTCCCCCTCAATTGTGTTTCTTTCGATAGTAGTTATCGAGCATGTAGTCTTCGAATTTTTTGAAATAATTATTCAAATAATCATTAAGGGAGTCGTCGTCCATTCTCTTTCCACTTTTCTCTTCTCTTTTGTCCTCTTCTTCTTCTTCTTCTTCTTCTTCCTCTTCTTCACCACTTCCTTCTTCTTCTTCTTCTTCTTCCTCTTCCTCCTCTTCATCGTCTTCTTCTTCTTCTTCCCCTTCTTCTCCACTTTCTTCTTCTTCTTCTTCCTCTTCTTCTTCCTCCTCTTCTTCCTCCTCATCCTCCTGTTCATCGTCTTCTTCTTCCCCTTCTTCTCCACTTTCTTCTTCTTCTTCCTCCTCCTCCTCTTCTTCTTCCTCTTCCTCTTCTTCTTCTTCTTCTTCTTCTTCTTCATCGTCTTCCTCCTCCTCCTTCTTCTTCTTCTTCTTCTTCTTCTTCCTCTTCTTCTTCACCTTCTTCTTCTCCACTTTCCTCTTCTCCCTCCTCACCTTCTCCATCGTCATCGCGTGCAGGCGAGTCTAATGAACATTAAACAGATAACAACGATTACTTAAAGATCATGACTACAAAACCAGGGAAAGAGTAATTATTACTTAAAAGCTTCAAATGCACGTTGCTTTTGACATAAAACCTTATCAAACAAGGGTATAATTTCATAACGGCCAAGGCTTTCAAGGATGACCGACTGAACAGGCACTGTTACTCTAAATAGCGTGGGCGCCGATTCCATCCTTTTTCGAAATTGAGGCAATAGAAAACGAGCGTAACCTGAAAATTTCTGAATGAATAAAGGTTTTTCATCTTACGAAAAAAAGAACCTGATCTACATTTGAGCCAGAGCAGTTACATAGTGATTAAATTCTTTATTGTAAATTGTCGCGATCCTTTATTATAGCACACAATGAATGTTTTGTGTCCTTATCTTTAAATAACACTTGAAGTAGTTCCATGTATGACCTCGGGCACTCTCGACAGTTCCATTCTGCAACACAATACCTGGGAGTGCAATGAACCTTTCACCGGTGTTATTTTAAATTTCCCTCAATCAGTGGACTACACATAAACGATTGAATCAATGGCAACTACTTGCTCTTACCCAAACTTTTGATGTAGTTCTTTACATCCTCAAGCTCTTGGCTAAAGCGTTCAAGGTCTGTAAAAATAATGATGAGCTAAATTTAGTGCATATCAATGTTTGGTGTCTCAAGTGGATCAATGGTCTTATAGAATTTCAACAGAATGGTTCTGCTGGGTCCCTATAGTCCGAGAGCTCTCTGAACAAATCTTCGAGATCAGTAATTTTGAAATACTGAAAGATTTACTCCATTCTGTTTGTCATAATAGTGGGAAATTATACAGCTGGTAATTAATTACTAACAATGTCTTATTTTATTTTTGTCCTTATGTGTCCTTTCTCAAACCCCTATCTTTGAAACTAATAGAAATCTCTGTGGTTATTATTGTGTAGGGTGGCGTAACATGTCGTCGATTTTTTAAATGTGTCACATAACAGGCCGTGTTACTTGAACAACAGACATAAAAAATCATCTTGATGAGTTGAACTACTACAGTCACGGTCTAAGCTACCTTCATCATTGTCTTATTTACTGAGAGTCAATGAGTTCAGTTCTATGATTATTCACAGCCACAGCCACTTTTAGTAGGCTTTCTCAATTTCTTTAAGTTTCTCTGACGCCAATAATATCCGCCACCATATAATAACGGAGTAATAGCTATGCTCCTCGCTTGACAATGGAATCACTGGGTCATCCTACGCAAAGTGATTTTAGAAACTTTTATTAAAACAACACATTTTCAAAACGGCAACTATACGATTAAATGTTTTCTTTTCATGTAGTTGCGTTGATGATCACCAGAGTGGGTTTTAAGTGATGTTCATTTATCTATACATTTGAAAAAGATGTTCATGCAATTAACGTTTTGATCTCAAGCCACATACAAGTGGTCTTGAAAACATACAAATATTTTGACTGAACCTAACGGTCGGTTTGTGTGAATGAGAGACAATACTATCGTCTCTCATCCAAATAAACCGACCATTATCATTACATGACGTAATCATATTTTTGCTTAAGACTCTATAATATCTTGGCTGTGACAGAAAACGAAGATGACAACATCCTTAAAAAATGAAGGCCACTAAGGAATATTACAGACGATAACAAACGTGTCGCTACTTTAGACTCGGACGATCAATGAATAAGAGCGAATTTTGTCAGTCTAGCTCTAGGGAAAAAATATCGGATTTTGTATCCCACTGCCTTCCGAAATATATCAAGCCCAGACATCTCACAAAGGAATCTAAGGAGCGGAATTTTTGTAAGCTTGCCATGGCTTTCTATAAGTCTGCAACTTTGTTAAATCTGTCGGATAGGTAGTGCTCTGTAAGAAAACCATGCACTCGTGCGCTGTCGACTGATCAAGATTAATGTAGAGGGCTGCAATATCAATCACTTAAATCATTGTTCGCTTCTAATCACAGCGATAAAAAAGCTTTCTATGAAACGAGAAAAGGTATCTAAACTACAATTTTATTGTATCCCATTTGAATTTATTGACTTCTCTCTTTATTCTTCATCTCTTTTTTTGGTGGGTTGTTCGAGTCGGAAACCTGTTTACGCCCTTACATTGTCAAAAAAAATTCCTCGCTTCACCGGAGCACACCATCAATTATTGCTCATTTAGCCTGAAAATTAACTTAAATGTGTTTTTAACTTAGCTGTAGAGCAACACTTGGCTGCGTCCTTTGTTTCCATCGTGTTTTCAAACATTTCAGGCGTTGATTCTGGTATACATTATGGACTATTTTTGTCGATTTATTTTCAGATTTTCGCTCGACTAGAGCACAATTTCGCTCCAATTATCTCTCATTCAGCATAAAAATGGCATTATAACGTGTTTAAATCGTTGCAGCGCAACAGTCGGCTGCAGTGCAACAGTCAGCTACATCCTTTGTTTTCACCGGCTTGCTCCTCACAACAAAATAATATTGCTTCTCGAAATTGCGTAATTTGTAATGAGCCAGTTTCCTCGATACATGGCCCAAAGACTATTCTTGACAACTTAAGGTTAAAGTTAACATGTAAGGCGAAGTGTAACATTTTCAGAGAAAAAATAATTGATTCACGCATTACGTTAAGTTTTATCGACTGATGCTAATCTCCGTCAGAACGATAAGTCACAAATTAATTATGCACCGGCAAATAGACACAGCTAGTTGCTCGTGGTTGCATTTTGAATCCGAAAATTCTGAATGCCAACTTAACAGTGTGGACTTTTTTTAGAATTCTTGTATCTCTTAATATCTCTAAATCTCTAAATCCCTTGTTTGCACGTTTAGTACTTGTTGAAATTTCAGTTCTAGATCTAGTTTTGAAAAGCTTCGCTTTGTGGAGGCTGCAGCAGCTGAAAAACTGAGCATGTATAAATTGCTATCGTTGGCTTTCCTTTGCCTCGCCTACTCGATCCGCACACACACATGTTTCGGTGTGTTTCCTTGTTTTGAAAAGCAATTAAAATTCATTAGATAATACAGATGCTATTTAAACAGATTTTCTTTTCATTTGTCAAGTTTTCTTCAGTGAGATATTTACAACCTCTTTAGATTCTTCATTAAGGGGCTTGATTGAGGTGGCAGACTATCGGTCTGTTTTAAGGAATGGCATGTTATCATAAATTACCTATTTTATTTGTTTTTTTTTTCCTATTAGTCTTTTTAAACTTACCAACGCGTCGAGTTAACTTAAAGCCAGACAGCTGCCCTAGCAGGGCAAGGAAACACAACAGAACGAACGCTTTGGAAGCCATTTCGTGAGCTTTGATCTTTGCTGTCTCGCTGATGCTTGTTTGATGATGCCTCTGTGCAGAATAGTTTTCGAGAAAGAGTCCTATAAGTATGCAAAGAAAAACCGCTAATTGGCGTGACCGCAACGTTAGCGTCCAATATTGGCTGATAACAAATTCAGTGGAATATTTTTCAAAGGTTAACCAACCAAAATATGAATACGAACGTTATTTAAATTAAGTAGTGTTTCTCCAGTGCATTATCCAAAACATGCTACATGTTCGTCTCATTATACACATTTTAACTAGCCGTAATTTTATTTGTTTTTCTCTGTCACACATGCAAATAATGTATTCATTATCGCTGTTTGATGGTCCAGAAAGCTCCCAAGAAAAAGTGCTCTGGATTCCAATTGGCTCTGAGACGGAAAAAACGGAAATACTGAAAATTCCAGGTCCAATATATCATTCACAGTTTAGTGTCTTGATTGTCCTAGTAGAATTATTTTAGGGCGTACATAATAATATTGACTAATAGTTAATTTTTCCCTGACTTTGAACTTTTAAGGTGGTTGCTGAGAAGGTAAAAACGATCTCAAGGAATCCGCCTTTGTTCTTCTGGAGCTCAGTGGTTGCATATAGTCTCGTGTTCCTCGTATGCACCATCCACGACCACGAAATAACGTTCTCGATTTATCACTTTCGCTATGCAAGGATGGAAAAGATAACAATACACTCTATTTAATTCAACTCTTAATTTAACTCTGATGCTGTTGAAAACGACTTTGCCGAACAAAACTTCTTTTATTTCTCTAGTTAGAACGCATGAGCTCTTTTAATAAAAATAAAAGGAGCACTAGATGTTATGGGATGACTCTGATCTTATTAAGTGACATCTTAAACATTTGCATGACTTTTTCTTCAGTTTTTTACGCATCGTTAAAGGTCTATGAAATTTGAAAGTCTTGGTTCAATGATCGTACACGAAAGACGCTGCTAGAAAGGACTTATTTGAAGCGCGATAGTGATCGCCACGGGCAAAATGGGTGTGGGACGAATAAGTGAATCCAGCAGACTTTTGTTTGTTTGCATGTCAATGAGCAAGCACTCGGAACCTCTGAAGGGGCCTTCAATTTTTAGAGAAAAATAAAACAAAACTCCATAACTAAAAATGAAAAATTAATAAACAAAAACAAACAAACAAACCAAAAAAATAAAGCCAAACAAAATGACTCTAAGACTCTAACTGATAATTCATTAATCATTATGCGTTTGAAGGAGGCGCCATGATTCCTTGGGAAATGGAAGGAAGAAAAGGACGCCGTTGAAAAAAAAATTGCATATATTGCTTTTTATATTTTTTATTGATATAAGGCCTGTCAACCGTGACAGAAATATCAATAGCTTATATTAAAGTTCACACGGTAGGCAGTCAGACATAGTTTGATGCTACTCTGGTTTACAGGTTTATTGAATGTAACCGAAGAAGTTACAACGCATAGACCCAACGTTTCGACACTCCTGTCTAGTGCCTTTATTAGGGGTGATCTAAACGCTGCAACAAGAAGTTCTTTTATATGATCACTAATTAGCTGCCTTTTTTCTGACTAGGTGCAAATAGGCGTCAAGAAGCAAGCCGCCATCGTCACGATTTAAAGGAGCGTGGGCGGAGTTAGTATACCAAGCCTCCAAACAAAGGCGTTGGTGGTAACGTCGATTAGTGGTGATAATTTTAGAATTATCCCACCCAATTGTATGGTTAGTTAGGCATGTGTGCTCCGATAAAGCTGAATTTTACTTTTTGCAAAAGAAAACCGGTTTTTTATGCTCTTTCAAACGCGTACCAAACTGACGTTTGGTCTGTCCGATGTATTCGTTGTCACAGTCATTGCAAGGAATAGAATGAATGGCGTCGGTTCGTTGTTCTTCCGTGACAGGATCCTTAGGTTTGGCGAAAATATGCCCCAAAGTCTGAAAAGGTTATTGAGCAACTTTGAAGTTGTGGCTATTCAAAATTCTCTTGATGAGTTCCGTAACAGCCTGAATGTAAGGAATAACAGCAAAACCAGTCGCTAGTTCCCTTTCTTCAGGAGTGCTACTAGTTGTAACTGGTTTTTGGCGGTTACGGAGAAAGGTTTTTGTATAGCCATTTGCCTTTAGTTGTTTTCAAACACCTCTTATGTTTCTTTTGAGGCGTAAAAGGTCGATATAGATTAGTTCAAATTTGAACATCAATTAAGCATGTCTTCCTTTACCATTTTAATTTTACTAAATCACGATTGTCAGGCCTCTGAAAGTTTGGCATCTGAATAATACAGTTTTCTGTTTTTGAAACTAATTGTGTAATATTCGGCGGATGAAGTTAACTTTAGGCATTGTCACGTGCAATATCATATTTGGGAGTAACAGACAAAAAGGTCATATTCATTAAAGGAAAAATTTAATTAGAATTATTCTGGAAGATCATTCCGACGCATTATGTTTTAGGTGGGAGGCCCCCTTTTCGCCCTTGCCCAGAAGAAGCTAAAATAATTCAAACGCTACACCGTGAGACTTGAATATAAGAGGGAGTTCTAAGCTTAGTAACTCGTCAGGGAAGCTTTGATGTTGTTTTTCAGCTGTTATTGCTCTCTATGTTGTTGTGTTTTTCAAATTTGAAGACAGGAGTTACAGACTAAATAAGCCTTCCCTTCTTCAAAAAGTAGACTGCTGTTAACGTCCTCAGCTCACGTTCTTCGTGAAGTTTTTAATATACTGATTGCGCCACAGCCAGAGTCCATTCGCCGCTAAGTCAATCAGTTTCCGACGTCAGGGATATCAGTATGGAAGCTATTCCAGTTGCGAATGGAACACCTTACTTAATAGCACCTGGTATGCACAAGAATTTACAAGGAGTTACCTCTGCTGTCTCTTGGAAAAGAAAACTCGCAATAATTTTACTTCAAATAGCCTTTGTTAAACTCAAGTCAGTTTATCGACCGAAGGTCGCGGGTCTCATTGGGGTTAACCTTTAGCCGAAAGACGGCAAAAAAAAAAATTAGCCGCTGGGCGTAAAAACTGACAAATTTTAACCGTTAGTCATAATATTTCAAATTTTCACATTTTTCCTAAGCTCGATGTACACTTTTATTTGTATTGCCTTGAGGCTGATGCGGTTCCGACAAATACACATTTTATCCCGATATCTAAAACAAGGACATTTGGCGCAGGTACCCTTGAGTCATACTCCGCGGACCGAAAGTGTCTGTTTTTCGCGCGTTTGATGAGTTGACTGGGGACCCCATTTGGCAGAATGATGGTATAACGGAATACGCTAAAACGAAGAATGACGGAATATCCTAAGACGCCGAAATGACGGAATGTGCGCGGAATGAGATCTGAAAGGACCTGAAAGACCTGAAACTCTACTGCCTTGTGAAAACAGTATGAAAATGAAAAAATATTTGAAATCAACCCAACAGGAGCTTCGTCTGGCTAAACCTAGGTTTAAAGAGTCAGACAAGCAAGAACAGCAGACATCTCTGACACTGAGAAAAGAATCGTTTGTAAGGAGCAGCGCAGCCTAAGGAATGTTTTTTAGCTGTAGAGATGCAATAAGATGAAAATGTTGTGCGGTAGGATATTTATCACACATAAGGCTGCAAGAAATGAAAGAAATCGTTCATGATCTTTCCCGAGACAAAGTGCATGAATCTCTCTGAAGACTTGCATTTGGGTACAGCCAATAGTTCCGAAATATTACCTTCGTTTTAAATTAATCACTCAATAAAACTTCCCTAGAACAAGCATCTGTCTGAGGTGGTACAGACAGCATCTAAACGCCAATATTTGCTTACGAAATTAAAATGCGCTTATGCAAAGCCAACGTATTAAGAATCTACAACAGCGGAATAAGGTCTGTTTGTGACTTCGCCGTCTCTTTGTAGATAATGACCCCATATTTTAGATGTGCATGACGACTACGTTGTTCACAGGAATATATCAAGATTGACAAACTAGAATCATGACATTGTCGATAAATTAAATGGGAGGAAAAGAAATCAAATGTACTTGTTATAGCAAAATTTTTGCCCATCGTCTGTGGCTTATTTTGTGTTCGCGTCCCTCTTCCACCCAATCCATCCCTCTCTGCTCCTTTTTTTCCTTGTTAATGACGACAAAATAACGTAGTATTGATTTCGAGAGGTACCATTAGTATCGTCGTTTATGTTATTCTCTCCTAATTCGAATTTTCATGGAAAATAGTGTAAGCTGTCGTGGTGTTTCAAAATATTACTTTTAGTTTTCTTTTCTTTTTTCTATTTTTTTCCATGGCCGAGTGCTGAGCATATTTTTTGAAACACGTAACTAATAACTTAATTAATTATTTCTTTTATGGCGAACGTTATACTATGTAACCTGATTCTCATTAAAGATGACAAGCAATAAGGTAATACAGATGATATAATTATATGAAGAGAATCGTTCAACAATTGTTTACAGAAAATTATGATTTTATTGGCAATTGCTTGAACTAGGCTTACGCATATTCGACAAAAACTTGTAATCGACTTTAAGCCATTAGTTTGTTTTGTGTTGTAGTGGCAAATTTTGTATTCTATCATAAACTGATTTAGTCTTTTAGCGTCTCATAGTCTCCGTAATCTTTATTTTAGTCATCGCCTTCTTCTTCGTCATCATCGTCGTCGTCTTCTTCTTCATCATCATCGTCATCGTCATCATCGTCGTCGTCGTCGTCATCATCGTCGTCGTCTCCCCCTTCTTCCTCTTCTTCGCCTTCTTCCCCGCCCTCCTCTTCTCCGCTATCGTCTTCGTCTGAAATTAAAAATTTCATATCGCAAAATAATTACCATCTTCATTAACGTATTAATGCTTTCTAAAGAATAGAAATAATCGTTATTACCTCCACACTTTTTCAATTCCTATTTACCTATTTAATCATTTATTAGTCATGAAGGCTGCCTTCATTTCTATCTGTTGATTGAATTACAATCAATCGACCAGTTGGTTGATTGATTGATTGGTTGGTTGAATGATCCTAATTTGAGATCACGACATCCAAGTCGATTTTCTGCTAGTTAAGCTATTGAGCTTTCGGTATGATCAATTGTTTGGCAGATCTACAAAGTGTTGGCAACATACAAACTTATCAAGTTTTAAACTCTTAAATGCGAAAAACAGTTCGGAGATTTTATTCATTCAAATTTATCTACACGATTTTCATGTTATTGGCGAATTCATTAGCTTGTATTACGATCAAAAAGGTTTTAAAAAGTAAAACAAGAGTAAATGAATGAAATGAGGTTAATTTACTATCGATTCAATTAATTCAAGGCCATAATATCATTTGCATCAAATTATATCGGACTATACACAGCTACTTTGTTCACACCAAAAATCCTGATACTTTTCGTAATACCGTCATTTTATTCATAGCTACGTTTATTTTCAATTTGGTCTTGCAAATTTTCCAACTACCATGATACATCTTTATGTAACAATTTTTATCACCGACTCAGAATTCGAATTTTCGGCTCGATGTTGAAAAATATCAAAGATAAATAAAGCGCTCCTTTAGCTCTTTTCCGTAATTTTTTCCTTCGATGTTTCTTTAATTAAAGAGGTTTGGTAGAGACCTAACAAACTTCCTTCAATCAATGATAACTCAGTTGCGGTACACTAAACTGTTTCAAAACTATTTTGAACCAAACGGATTTGTTAGATGTCAACAAAATGCGATGTTATTGATCGCTGGAGAACAGTTGTGGACATCATGCAGTTCTTAATGGAGAGAGCCTATATAGACAACATATTCCAACGTTTTATAAAGTAGAGGAGAACGGAGAAGAGAATAAAACAAGAAAAACTTAAAAAGACTCTGTTCTTGATATACTTTGCTCTAACTGTATTGAGATAATATTTAACAATTTTGACTGTTCAGGCAGTTGTGTCATCGAATTTTTGTAAGATCAAAAAGCTTGTTTCCCATAGCATTAATGGTATATTCTTTGACATATCATTGTCTTTAAAAAAAGAATACAAACATTTACTGCATCAAACCAATTACAACTTACCCTCGCCGGTAGGAAAAGGAGCACATGAAAGCTGCCCCACAATAACCAATAGATAGAGAAATATGAATATTTTGGAATCCATTTTTAAGCAGCAGGTTTTTCACTGGAGATCACGTCTTCGGTGGAAAACAGGGAGAACTGATTCCCTCCAGGCCCTCGTACACTTATATTACATAAGAGAAGTCAAGAAGAATTTGAAATCATCGTCTGTGGTTTTCAATATTGATAGGGAAATCCGATCCCCCACAATATCAAACAAAAATTTACCATTCTAGGGAAAATAAAATTTTCAGGCTCAGTATAAGAGACTATGTAACTCAGGATAGGGATAAAGACGTTCAGACTTTCAGATTTACCGCGATCTAAACAACACCAGCTGAACTATTTGGAGCTTATCTTTATATAGAAATTCACACTTTTTAAATTGGTTTCTTATTTGGGCTAACTTTATGGGTGATCACTTATGGCTTGAACCGCGGAGCACATATCTTGAGTCGAAGACATTCCTAGCAAACCACAAGTATTGTTTTGTTTCCTTAACTACAAAGAGTGTTTCGATAACATGTTTCCATCGATGCTCGCGGAAGTATCCTTCTAGACACATAGACGATATTAAGTAGAGGTTAATGCATGAATATCGCCTATAGAAGCGAAAGCGAGAGCAATTTAATGCAGAGAAGTGCTGTAACCAAGAGACATCTAAAGGTAAGAATTTGCTTAAAAGTATCCAATCTTTTTCGGGTACCTCGGGCAGACGTCATCATGTTTGTGAAGGAAGAGGAAAAACCCTCAAAATGTGACGATATCCGATCATCCTAATTAATTTTGATAAAGAGTATAAGAGTTCGATATGCAGGAAATATATTTCCTATGCTGAATTTAATATACATTTGTAAAATTGGAAGTCAAGCAAACTCTGTCACATTCTATTAATATTGTCATAAGAACCGAAAATGGAAGAGTGGGAAGCCGTGAAAATGTAGCCTTTTGTAACTACATTACCAAGCAGCGGTGTGGATTAAAGTGTGTTGGAACGATATATTGGGTTAACTAAGCTGAAAAGCAATTAATATGTTAACAAAACGTTGAAAACGCACCTAGCCAAGTCTGACCATTCCATTGATATTTTTTTATTAGTGGGTTACTTAATTGAAACAAGTAATTGTCTTTCCAGTATTAGCAATACAAAAAATATAAACGATTTAAAGCGCAGCTTTGTGTAAACTTTGTTGACATTTATAAACCGTGACTTTTTGTTTAAAAAATAATTAAAGAATAGGTTTATGCGGAGTTAAATTGACCAAACCTTTTTGTACGTAGGTATTCCAGAAATTTCATGATTATTAAGATGTTTTGGTCTTTTGCAGCGGAAGTACATAAATGTGTTGGTTATAATATCATATAAATCGCCACTAACCTTTTTTTTCTTTGAATACCTTAATATTACCTCGTGGCAAAAGAAAACTTGGTTAATGCTACCATGCAGACCCATAAAATGAGACCAAAAAACAGAAGAGGATTATTAATAAAATAAAAAGGTTGTAATTTATAAAGTGGTTTCAATGAAATTATTTCAGATAAGGTAAGAGATAAGATAGATTTATTCATTCACAAGCCTCCTAGGTACTCGTACATGTATGATTACATAATATCAAAGCTACGGATAGCCATAAAATGAACCGTAGATTTTTTTTCTCTTCCCACGTTTCAAAAAATGGTTAGACGAAAACAATTATTTGTATTGGTACTTGTGTTTTAAATACCTCAATCGAATAATAAAGGACTGCGGAGAGCGGTTAGTTTCAATCAAAATGAAAGTTAACCTTTTGGTATTTTTGTCTTATTTTCATAATGTAGAGTTACTATGAGGGTTTCCCTGGGAGGACAGCTTTGACGGTTGACAATTTTTAGGTAGGCAGTTCTCCTCTGTATTTGAATTAATATTTCTATTTGAAATTATTGAATTTGAGTTATTAATAATATCCCTAGTTATTCACTGACGATATAAGATGAAAGTTACTTCTGAAACCCTACTGCCACATATAATACGTATAGCATATATCGTATCTCAAGGTACCCAACTGAAAATATGATCTTGTCTAAGAACCAGTTTGGGTTTGGAGAGAAACACTTTACCTCACGTGTATTGATAAGTCTCATCAACAAAACAGTAAATGCGATTGATAACACAAATTTCTTTCCAGGTGTCTTTTTGGACTTATCAGAGGTTTTTGACACAATTGATCACTCTATTCTTTAGTCTAGTCTTTATAGTCTAGCCGGTATAGTACCTGACTGGGTAAAATGGTACTTGACAACTAGATTGCGAGTAGTCCAAGTCAATGGGAAAAATTTATGCGAAAGAGGACCTGTCTGTGGCGTCCCGCAAGGATCCATTTTAGGCCCATTGTTCTTTATTTTGTATATCAATGACCTCCCAAATAGCATAGGATATGCTTAATGTTTACTTTTTGCCGACGATACCTGCACTTTTTACTGAAACCGAAATCCTAAAATTCTTGTGGAAACCTCATTAATAAAATTCGTCATGTTGCGCAGTGGCTAAAAACTATCAAGATGTCCATTGATGCGGAAAAAACGAAGATTATGATTTTTAGACCTTAATAATACAATTATTGAGGAAGTTGAACACATCAAATTTTTAAGTGTTTACATGGACCAGCATCTTGCGAGGGAAATGCATAGTGACTACATTTGTACAAAAATTACTAGAACAATAGGAATGCTACATAAAACAAGGTTTCCCGTACCTAACAAATCTCTTCTCTTATTGTATTATTCTTTAGTTTATCCATACCTTACCTACTGCAATGGAGTTCTACATATCCCACTAATGTTAAAAGAATCTACTTGTTATAGAGAAGAGCTGTTCGAACAATTTTAGCTGCAGATGATAGGGGCCTTAGTAGACCTCTTTTCCAAAAACTTGGTATTTTTGACATTTACAGATTGTAATCTTTTCACGTTGGAACCTTCATGAACAAGTATCGCCGTGAAATTTTGCCTCGCTCTTTTCTAAACTTGTTATAAACTGGAAGCCAAACTCATAATTATTCTATTAGATATGCTGAATTATACCGTCCTCAAGTCTGTAGAAGTAACATCAAACAATTCGCAATTTTATACCATGGACTAAAATTGTGGAACTCTCTGCCTCATTCGATAATTAATATGCAAAATACTTCATGAATTTCACAGCAAGGTTATTAATATTAAGTAATCAAGTTCCCCTGGTACTTTACACTTGTTAAATTACGTTTTACATTCTAGATTAAAGAGTGAGCCTCACCTATAAGCCTACATGGCCTCTCGAGACTTTCTTTGCCTTTTCCTTTTTCTATTTTATATTTCCCATGTATTATCTATGTAAATTAGCTTTGTTCCCCTTTTAATATGTAATAGAGGCAAATGACAAATAAATAAATAACTAAATGTTTGGCTAGAAAACACGAGACCTTTTTACCTTACAGAATGACGTCATATAATGAGGCTTAGGTATGGAAGGAAAATTTACTCACTCTATTCTCTGATCTGTGAGAGGATAAATTTATGAATCAAAACTTGAACTAGACACGGTGTCCCCTGCCTCTCTACTGTGTTAGCTTCTGTCCCCAAAGAATAGGAAATGTGTGGAAGAATACTAAACTGGAAACTGGGATAAGAGCTTCAAAGTTTGGCAGTTAATTTATCTGACTTTTAAATACATCTTGTCTTACAATCTCATCTTATGTCTGTTTTTATTACGCACAGTGGTCCGGATAGCACATTAATAACCAAATGGTCATTTAAGGGTACGTCACGCAATACTGAAACAAGATGGAAAATAATAGAAGTTCCCACGACTTTAATTAAAGAATCAAAACATGTCATGAGAGATTTCTAAATGCTACTGATTTTAATAATCACCAACAACGCTAAGCATATAGTATACAGTTTGGTAGGTATACGTACGGAATGGATAAATAGTGGAATCTTCATCTCGGGCTTTGTTTTCACCTAAGGTTCAGGAAGCATATTCGAACTTAAGCAAAAAGCTGATCTTCTGGATGAAAATTATCGTTTCAACAGCAAATATCAAATTTGAACAGATAAAAAAGAAGATAGAAATCAAGAGCTAAATTGAAAATGTACGACGTTATATTATTATTATGAAGCGAATGCAACTTTGGGAAATTGATTTAAATGCACGAAAATTAAATTAACGACTCTTCTTTGCGTTGAACACAACTCCTAAGAGAGCCCAAGTCAAAAGAGAGACTGACCCTCTCACGTCTTTTTTATTTGTCGTCGTCTTCGTCGTCTTCGTCGTCTTCGTCGTCTTCGTCGTCTTCGTCTTCGTCGTCTTCGTCGTCTTCGTCGTCTTCGTCTTCGTCGTCTTCCTCTTCCTCTTCCTCTTCCTCTTCCTCTTCTTCTTCTTCCTCTTCTTCTTCTTCTTCTTCTTCCTCTTCTTCTTCCTCTTCCTCTTCTTCTTCTTCTTCTTCTTCCTCTTCTTCTCCACTTTCTTCTTCTTCTTCTTCTTCTTCTTCTTCTTCTTCCTCTTCCTCTTCTTCTTCCTCTTCTTCTTCTTCTTCTTCTTCTTCTTCTTCTTCTTCTTCTTCTTCTTCCTCTTCCTCTTCCTCTTCTTCTTCATCTTCTTCTACTTCTTCTTCCCCTTCTACTTCTTCTTCATCTGATGAAAATAGGATAAAGTTATACGAATGTTAGTTGATTCTCACCATGATTTAAATGTTATCATACCTTTTTGATACGCCACAGCGGTACATCTGCCATTTTCTGTAGAGCCATGATTTGTAATTCGGCGAGATGGATTTGAGTCATAATACGCATGGTGCGATTAAACGATAATTAAGTGATTGCTTTATGTTGCGACACATCACTTGGCTCGAAAGAACAACCCCACAATTGGAACCAAAAGTTATGAATCAGTTATGATATTTAAATTTAACTCAGCCATCGAATTGAGAGTTCTTAGTGACAGGACTTTTTGCAAAAATCGTCACTTATTAGATCATTTTAGCATTTAAATAAATTTACCATTAAACGGTTGTGAATATATGGAAGTCATATATTTGAACTGCGGTTAAAGACGTGAATATGAAAGCGATCTTCGCAGTAATGAACACTACTTAAGTAGTAGTCAAAAGAAGGGCTGAAAAAAATACTTTTGTTTTTTCCAGCCCTTCTTTTGACTATTACTTAAGTAGTGTTCATTAATGCGAAGATCGCTTTCATATTCACATAAATTTACCATTGTTATCTTATTGGACAAACTTCATACATAGTGAAATATCGCAGGGAAGCTTCTTGTATTCGCTTTTGCGTTTCTAACGTTCACTTGGAGGAACTTTTGGACCCCAGATAACGTTGACGTCAATGGTGGTATTTTAAACTTCTCATTACAAAAAGCCTGCCACTAATTTAAACCTGTCATTCAACAAATTATGTGAACTGTGAACTTTGAAATAAATATTTGGGCAAAATGAGTGAGATCATTTAGTAATGAGGCTTCACCTTTCCCTTTAAAAGTTTTGTATAGAAAAGGTCTCCATTCAACCTATTTATTTGCAGATTTCATTTTCAGTCAATCTTCTAATCAGAGGTTCGATTCTTTGCTCAAAGGAGCTCCGTTATGTATATATTAATGATATCTGCTCATAAGCATATACAATAGTTCGCTTTTATATTTTCGTCACGCCATTGCGTTATTAGTTGCGTCACAGCCCCAAAACCTGCTTGTAGTTTAACTAATTGACCGCAAACAAACATTATCTTTTTGTTTAAGTGACTCATTTATTGTATTACAAACTGTTAACGATCTGAAATTTTACCCAGTAGCGAGTGGAATGCACACTAGAAAACTCCAAAATGAAATCTTATCTCAAGTCCTCCTGATGTATGGATGAGGATTATTTTAGGTTTCAATTCAAGATTTTTTACTGGCATGGTTTTCCTTAGAAACCAGAAGTTGGTCGACTTTATTGGTCAAGAACTTTTTCAATGGATGTTTATGGATTAAGCAAACAGCAGCAACGTTGCTTTTACCGTAATGATTTAAATAAAAGATTTCATTCAAGCGAAGTTAAGCCTTTATACAGAATCCACAGAGTTATCTTTATAAAAAAAATTTGACGATCGTCCACCTTGCAAAAAGAAAAAAATCGTTTCTATTTCACATCAAAATGCTTCTTATCGCTACAGAATTCATAAGTAATCTTTTTTTTTTGTCATTTTCAATCTGTTTCGTATAAAACTTTTCGATAATGTGAAACTAAATGAACTGGTTGGATATCAGTCCGACATACATATGTCATTTTTTATCGCGTGATGGCATTGGCAGATCCGAGCGCACCTAGTTACGTTCTTTTTGCCCGTTTTTTTCGTTAAAGAGCACTATTTGCAAATGTTTAAACCTTCATCCACCAGAAAAAGCGTTCACAAGCCGGCAAGAAAGCGTGATTGGTAGTTTGACCTAGTTTCCCAGTCACACGATTTTTTTTTTTACCGACACGGAAAATAATCCCCTCAGATATCTACTGATTGTGACTCAGGCAGAGTGAATTATCAAACATGTCTTGAGTCTTATAAAGTTTCAAAGAGTACACAATGATCGATAGGAAGCCTCCTTTCATTTCACTGAAACAGTTTGAATTCTTAACATCTCGGGTTTAGACATAAAACCGGAAGTTTTCTTCTATGAAACAGCACAATTCAACTGGCCCGAGTTATATCATATTTACCTTGACTTACCGTAAGGACACTTCGGAATAACTCTAAACCTATTTTAATCCATATTTTTTAGTAATATTTTGTACTACTCTAATTATTTTGAACAATCATTGGTGAAGGAAGTTTCGGTTTCAAAACGATTTTGTAACTATTTTAAAATTTCATTCTTACCTTCTTCCATTGGTAAGGGAGCAGCTGACAGATGACCAAACAAAGCCACAAGGCAGAGGAAAATTTTCAACATTCTTGAATTCATCTTTTCGGCTCTCTTTTCGACCTTAAGACTTCTCTTGTGACGGTAAGCAGAGGAGAATGAGAGTTCGTGCCGTAATTGAGCACTTTATGTCAATGGGATGTCGGAATCCACTTTACGATATTGTTTGTGGGTTTCGTATTGGCTAAAAGTAAGCTAACTCTATAACGACCAGAAATAAACACTCACGCCGGTGGCGTAACAGGAAAGCAAGAATTGCCCCGTCACAACCTTAGCGTGATAAATCTAGAAACAATTGTTCATTTGTATGACCGCAAAGGAAAAACGTCGAAAATGCCGCTTGAAAGGATGGTAAACGATCGAGTCCGAAATTAACGAAACTCTTGTGAACTTTCATAAATCTAATATAACTTACGAACGTAAGGGGGAACTCAAGATAGACAAATAAAACAAACACTCTTAAAGTAAAATTCTCAATTCATTTCATTGAACCCTAATTGTCAACTTCACAATATCAGTTGAAAAATAACAAATACATGAAGAGAGAGGTGTAAGAGCATGACAGAAACCGGAAACCTTGATGAAGTTTGCTAATACTGAATAATCGCCAACGCAGAGTGTTGCGGTGTAGCCTACACGGTGGTTTAGCAGGGAAAAACAAGTTAGCGTTACGAAATAGCTGATCATAAGTGAAAATATAAAATTTACGTTAGAGCCACATAACAGAAAAACTCATGACCACTTGTAACTCTCCGTGTAAATATTAGCAGGTTGAAAATTAGATGTCTGTATCAAGGTTAATTGCAAACAAACCCTTTAATTCTAGATAGTGCTAATCGGCTTATGTTTTAGGCTGATGGAGATGCAATATACTTTGACACGTAAGGTTTCCAGAGATCCTGCAAACTTCTCAAGACCTGCTGAAATTTGGTCTTTGACTGATCATGATTTGCTCCGAAAATATGTGAGTTACTTATACAAAAATTTCGTCATTACTCGCATATTAGTGTTCTTCTGAGAGTTTTGTTATTTAATTGAGTTATTTTATTGATTTGCGAATAAACAAAAGTTGGCTGGCGTCGTAATATGGCTCGTAAGCTATTTCAATACACGTTTATTGAGCGAAAATTCCTCAAAAACATTATCTTTTTTTGTTAGGCTAGTTATGATGAATAAAATTAAAGAAACAATGCTAAAATGAAGCACAATCCTCCATTTTCTACCGTAAGCAAAACCGGAGAGATATTATTTCTATTCAACTGCAAAATGGACCTCATTTGAGTAATTCATTAAAAGCAACCCAATCTTCCCTGCGTGATTTGTGTACCAAAACGTTTTACATTTTCTTACATCCGTGATTTCTCTGGTCCATAAAAATGAATAATTTTGGGTAGGAGAAATGCTTATTTCAATTTTAAGTTAATATGAAAAATCATGGTAACTATCCCGAGATTCGCAGAGAATTCTACGAGCAAATAGAAAATTAGGGAGCCGTTGTTTTCACTTAGATGTAATATTTCCAACGTTCCCTGATTAAAAGCGATGTTGATTTATTGTTTGTGAAGTCAAATTAAAATAACAGCATAATCTCAAATGCTAACAAGAACTATTCGATACTTCAAAAACTTCTCTTTCAGTTACGACTTGAATTCGAAATGAAAAATTATTTTATTTCAGTTCCTATTGGTATTTCTACCGAAAATATTTTTATCCGCAGAGAAAGATAGAAATTCCTTTTGAAGCTAATGATGCACGTTCCAAGTAAAAAAGTGATTTTACAATGAACACCAAGGGAGGCTAACAGCAGGTTTTTACGACACGATGTCAACATGCCCAAAATTCCTCGATAGTTCCTTTAACCTTATTAGAAGTGTCTTCCTTCTTAGACCTTTCATAAATATAACCAGACGCGAGGAAAGATAAGAAAGCAACAATTGCTCCGTGACGGCATTGTTGTGAGTGAAGAGGGAAGGAAGCTTATTGTTGGCAAAGGAAGGAAGTTCAGAATGCTAGTGCAAAATTTATTCACCTCCTAGCGTTACAAAGCGGCTGATAGTTTGCCGATCCACCCTGAATTTAGATAACTAATGCGAAATTAAGAGGCTCTACACAGAAATACAATGACCGAGCAATTACCAAAACCGGAAAACCAAAAACCCAATGTCCCCTTCAGAACAGAATTAGTAAATATTAGCAGATTGAAAGTTGAACACCTATATATCAGATATATCTATCCAAGAAAAAACTTCTGACGCTTACACTGATGAATGTGTTCGCAGTGATTTCTTTGATGATAATTACAACCTGTAGTTTGAAAGATTTACTATGTGCTGAGTTTGCCGATCCACCCTGATCCGTTTGGTAGAAATTTAGTTTTGTTCACCGAGATAACTAAACAAAGCTGAGGTAATACGCTTACACAAATGATGCGCATGTGAATTGAAAGATTTATTTTAAGATAAACACTATTGGAGTCTGACTTTACGAAAAGACAGTAACTGATCAAGTCACGTTCATATTCTGTTAGCAAAGATAATAAAAATCAAGATAACCTCACTTATGTTCCCTTTTCTCACGATTTCACCTTGCTTACGATCATATTAAAGTTATTGCACACAGGAGCGAAAAGTTATGTTACGTTAATTCCTCAAAAAAATAATAATAACAAAAGAAGGAAAGAAAGAAAAATACCCGCGTCAAGAAAGAAATGAAATAAGTTTTTGGAAGTAGTAAAATAAATGCTCTTGCCCCATGTTTCTCGGCATTAATTTTTTTTAAGAGTAGCGAGGGATCTGGAACGGACCCTTGAACTCCTTGCCTTATCAGATGTATTAAATTTTTCATGGACGCCTAAACCAATGCCTGAATGATTATTATTTAACTTAGGTAAAGTTAGGTTAATCTTTTGATTACTCGTACTTGTTCGACAACAAACCCACCCGAAAACTTACATTAAACTCAACCTAGTGTCTTCGATATAAGTCAGCGATTGGAACAGTCATATGTCCCTCCGTGGTCTCGTTTATCAGTCAAGTTACATAACTTATGGAAATCAGTGACGCTATAAATAACTCTCTACACTTTGTCTTGCATCTGATGGTCAAAGTTTACCGATTACGTTGAAGTTTGCTGATTATAGCAAAATGAGTGTTGCGGTGAGGACAATATCAACCATTTTCTTATGTTTTCACCATATTTTGACGTCCTCTTTAATCTAAAGCTGAAAGAGAAAAAAATGGATCTGCATTGTTAAAACAATAATGGTAAATATGCATGGTAATACTGGACTACTAAGACTTTTTCCTGTTTAAGAATTTTCTTGAAGTGGCCAAAAGTTTGTTCGTCTCGGTCAACTCTTACTACGAAATGAATAACTGGAGTTAAACTTGCTAAGGCCTCTGCTGAGCAATTGTTTTCAGAAATATTAGTCGTGCATGCGGGACTAGACTTACAAAGAAAACAATTGTGAAACATGCGTAACACACGTGAGCTTCAAATGGCTGGATATTGGCCAAGTGACGTGCTGTGTATCGCCAAACAAAACCCCAAAAAGAACGAAACCAATATCCAGGGATCTTGAGCGAGTAATAATGGTTATCGAAAATACTCTTTTTGTCTTTTTGTTTGTGTTTGTTTCTTTGGTTGTCTGTTTGTTATTTTAGTGGATGGAAGTGGGTTTCTGGCGCATTGTTTGATATTGGAGTGGCGGCAGATTCATGAAAATCCTTTTCGACGTGCTTAGTCTCATTTATGAAATCATTATGGTTTTTTTTTTTTTTGTTTTCTCGTCTGTCATAATCAATGTTACCGCAAAGCCATCATGCATGAACAATTTACCCAGACCTCTTGATAAAACAGGGCGTATGAATCACTCAGCTCAGCTTAGGAAGGTCGCTCGAAAGTCCAACTTCAAAGCTTTGTCTGATAAATTAGTGGAGCACCTAGTATTTTTGATATGGACTGTGGACAAAACGAAGCTGCCATGGCAGCTTATGCATGTTGCCGGATTCAGTCTAATTGCAAACTTGCTAATCAAGATGGCTCAAAATGGTTTCCCTGTTTTTAAACATCAGTTCCTCGACTGATTAGTCGATACTACCACAACTTTATTTTTTCACTTAACAATGCTGTCCAAAAAATGTCCAGTTATTTTACAAAATGTGTAATAATGTCTATATCGTAAGAGGTTACCAAAGCCTCCAAGCAGCCTTCTAATCTTAGCTTTATGTCCCTGTTACTCGAAAACGAGTTCGGTAACCTCTAAAAACTGTACAAGCGATTCGGAACCGCTTCAATTATAAAAATTTAAGGTGGCTCTCAACAAATGTTTTAAATCTTGCATTTACATAAATCTTGTAAGGAAACGAAATAAACAATAAAGAGGGTAGGCTTCTAAAGAAACGGTGGTGCTGCGTCGGTAGGAGAGCATAATAAAATAATTTGGTTTTATCGATTGATAAGGGTAATTGGCGCAAAGAGTGTATAGGCTGACGATTCGAGCGTCAGCCCTTCGTCACGGTGTTTATTGTTTGCTTATTGGTGGGAATATGGTGACGATACAAACAACAATAAATCAGTTGAATGAAAAATATTTGTTAATAAAAAATGTTTGTTAATACCGTAGGGATAAAAAGTGCCGATTTGAAAGATAATTTTGCGGCTTTCCGAACTGCCTGGATGTAAAGAAAGACTACCGAGTGCTGCTTAGAATGATCAGGGAGATTCAAGTGTTCAGCAACTGGTTTCAGTGGATGCGTCCTTGGCACCTTTACCAATGTTATCTATTGCATAACTTGCACGTATTGCAAAAGATGATTGGTGAAGAAGGAAGACGACTGC